CCCCCACCCCCCCCCCCCCTGCCACCCTCGCTTGGTCATTTCGTTCGTCTGTGTCAGTGCCCGCGCGTGTCAGAGTTCAGATGAGCGGCTCCGAGTAGCATTGATCGGTCTTCGTGCTCCACCCAGCAGCTACCGCCACCGTAGGCAATGTATGTCGCCAATTAAAGAAGCGTTGCTCTCAGGATTCTTTTATATTGATGTCATTATTTTTCTCTTTGCTTCGAATTCTGTTCTTCTTGATGACTCTTACTTCTGTCTTATGTCAGCATGTAATTTCTAAACTCCTGAAGCAGATTGCTTGTTACGATAGGATTTTAAACTTTATAAATCTAAATTCATTTCACATAGCATAGTGGTAATTATACTGTCTATGTACCGCCTATTTTAACGGTAAATAATTCTAAATTTGGTCCACGGAGTGTATTTATGTGTCTTATTCTCAGAACAGCCGTCATTTCCCTAATCAACATTAAAGAATGTTGTTCTTTGCAATGGTGAAGGGATATTGCACTTAAACCTATCGCTCAGTGACAGGAGATACGTGGCTGTCAACGTGGAGCAGGGTTGCTTGTAGTGGCGTATTTCATAATCCAGTGGATCATCATGGGTGCAGGACACTGCTGTAATAAGGTTGCTGAAGACCATAAATATATTAAATTTGCGCAAATTATGGCTTATGCGGCAGGCCTATACAGTGATTGTTCCGTTCACGGACATTTTCACAAACCATTATCACTTGCGTTGGTACAGGTGGTGTGATGTCATTTATCATCCCGTCTTTTATTGTCTGTTGCTTGTTTCCGGTTGCTTCGGTTTGAATCCTGTCTAAGTAATTTGTCGTTAATCACCGCTTTCTCAAAATTCGCTGTTATTTTGAAACTCGACGTAGAAAACTATCCTGTGTTATTTCAGTCTAGTTCACGTTTTACAGCCTGTCTCTGGAACATTTGTTTTAAATTTGCCAGTCCAGCAGTGCCTATATTTTGTATGATATTGGGTGTACTTTGTATCTGTGAGTACACAGTATGTTTGCGAGAATTCCAATAATCTGACGTACATGTTTTGTGATTTCATTTTCCTGAGAAAGTAGAAACCTCTCTGTCCAGTTTTAACTTTCTTTGTTCGCCATTTTGTTTGTTCGATCAGCAACAAAACACAGTGTGTGTACTCGAACACCCCCCTACATAATTCCCCTTCTAGGTTCTTTCGGACCACCCATACCATGGGACTATTAATACGTCGTATATGTGGTAATATTTTCCATGCAACAGTGTCATAAATCGTGTGTGGTTACAAGATCAGAACGGAATTTATTACACTGACGTGACGTGCTTAACTTACAGATACAGTGGTATACAAATGTAACCACTGTGTACCATCGAGTTACTTTTAAGGACTTATTTATTTAAAGTGGTAATGGTACATATAGCGTTTATTGCATAGGAATAGTGGGCGTACCGTACGAAAATCTGTATTTATAAGAGTCTATGAATATTCTAAGACATAATGAATTTTTATTACAATAACTCAAGAGGAAATACAAGTGCAAAGATATTTCAATTAATTCTTATATAATATTTAGCAATAAAATTACAATGCCTCTTTAAGATTTTCGAGGAATGGAAAGACAGACATTATCAGAAACTATTTAGAGTGCCTATTGCAATTATCTGTGAGTTTAGATTCTGTTTACATCCTTTTCCTTGGTCGAACACAGCAAATACCACAAAATTGTCCGTGCAGACCATTAATTAATGTCTTGTTACGTATTTGAAGATTTATAAGTGGTTAACAAGTATCTTGTCTTTCCTTTTTGGAGAAAGGAAACAGACATTAATTTTTACTACTTTTAAATGGAATTATTTAATAGAACTCGACGTCATTGCACGAAATGCACGGACGTAATACAGCCTCTCCGTTATCGCCATGTTAATTGCATTCCAATTAAAGTTTCGTAAGAGTAGTAAAGCCTGGCTGACTTGGGAAAGAATGTAAATTTTTATAAAACAGTGAAAGTCTGTCGGTTTAAGTGCGATTTTGGTGAGAGATCACTTTTTGAGTCCTCTGGGATGTTGTGCCTTGTAGTAGTCTTGTAGGTGGAGGCACTGTGCACCCTTGAAACGACACTAATTTTCTCGAGTGTACACAGCGAATGTCCCAGACAACAGACATCATCATACTCACCGCCTTTAGAGCCCGAAATCTGCGACTGCCATATGCCCTAGGAATACAAATGTTGGAACGTACCAGCATGTTGGACGCGTCGCGTTCAGCATAATAGACTACGATTATAAACAATTAACACTTCTGTTACTTCAATTCACAAACGTTTTTTAATAAGGCATCGTTCGGACTTTTATGGAGTTTA